AACACAGAGGGCTGAGGCTGCTAAAGCTGGGCAGACACTGGGATATACGTCAGGTTACCAAGCTCCAGGCTCTCCTGACTAGACAGCCGCTAATTCCCTGGTTTTCTAGCTCAGAAGGGCGTACAGAGACGTGCAAACACGGCAGCACGATCACACCCAACTCTCAAAAGCCCCATCCACAGGAGCAGCACACAGATAAGTGGGAGATGACGCTGCGCCTGGCGATTTAACAGAATAAAAATGTAAAGCTGCAGACACACTTCTGGTAGAACTGGATGTTCCACGATGCCAGACTATTCTCTGAATAAGCATCAGCCCTGCTTACCATCATCTGTGCATAACATCTCCCCATCATGCTTCACTGCTGCTCAACAAACGCCAGAGCTCCCTGCCAAGCAGTGCTGGAGCTCCACCTAGCAGGAAACAACGACATTCCAGGCAAAAGCAGTAACCTGGAATTCTCTTTTTTTTAAAATACAGAGATCTAATGCCACTGTAGCTAACCTCTATTTTCGATTCATTTGCCCCAGGAGTCACTAGAGTGCAGATTTCAATGCACACGAAATTCACCATCATACAAGCGGAAGGAAATAAGGACTGGGGTGGGAAAAAAGCATCTTGCCTCTGACCCAGCAAACACATGCCCAAAAAAGTAGAACTAAAGTAAAAAATGCCCAAGCAAAAACAAGGTGCAGAGAAGCAAAGAAACAACCGCTCCTTTTCAATACCACAGAGAGCATTTTAAAGATTCTTGTTCAACTTTTACCTTGTCTTCTGTACCATGTAGAGGGGAACACAGTAATCGCAGTCCGTGGTAGGCCAGCTGGGGAATGTACTTGGCTTTGTTCACATCCCTACGCCAAAAAAAAGCAAACAGATGTCACCAAATCTCATTGGAGGAACACTTACCTCAACTATTACAACCACATTTGCTCATTGACTGGAAAACATTCAGTATTCACTAGATGTTGTTTACTGTTAGCTAGGTGGAACATGTTCTAATTATCTTTAGGGAAAGAAATCACTGCTTTCATTCTGGAATAAGCGGGCGAATAACACCAGCATCGAGCGCTTTGCTTGTTCAAAGCACCGTTTGAAGAGGAAGAGTTATTTGCTTACATTGCTGCTGAAAACTCCAACTCCTGTACCACCGGCTCGAAGTTTGTCAGTTCGACAAAGATCTGCAAGAGAACAAAGGCAAGATCAGCTAATTCAGGTGAGGGGAAGACATGTAGGTCTCCTTGGATGCTTTAGAGTCAGACAACAGAGAACTGGGGTCTAACTTTCAAACCACAGCACCTCCCTTGAAGCAGAACATAAGGAGACCCCAAAGCCACAGGCTCAACACTTTTCCCCCGGGGACAGTGAGGACAGTCTCATCAGGGGACCAGCTTAGGTCCATCACTCCCATGGCTTGGGAGTGTTCTGCAGCCACCAAAAGTTTGTGTTAAGAGGAGATAAGGTTCCTTGAGTTAAATCTTATTACCTGCAGGCACTTCTGCACACACTGGGGTTTTTCTTTTAGGGAGAACTTAGGAAGAAGTCTCAAGAAGTTTTTCAAAAGAAGGAAGATTGAGTTGCGAACTTGAAGAAGGTCATCCGTTGAAAAGTAAACATTTTCACAATCCTCCTCCTCCTCCTCTTCCAACGTCTCTTCCATCTATATTGGGAGAAAAGAGAAACAGCACCATCCTGGCCCACAGCACTGGCTGATCTCTTCGCACATTTTGGTGCTTCACAGAGTTCTCAGGTTCAGTCCCACATGATTTCACATCCAAAATTCTACATCTTTTCTTTCCAATCAATTAACGCACTTAAAAGTGGGGGAAGAAAACCCCAATGCCTATGCCCTTCTTCGCTTGCTTGTCATGATCCTGCAGCACCCATGTTCTGACGGATTTCTGATGCGTAATCCTCAATTCCATTTAAATAAAAATAATCATATATAAATGTTAGAAGGAGCTGCTGAGTACAGCTAACCAAAGCATTTAGCCCTAAACTTCCCGTCAGTAAGTTGGCAAGGAAACGCAAATGTCATTTGCAAGCTCGGATGTCTCTTGGAGAAGCCAATATAAATTAAGTTTCTCCCTCTGCTACTGAGCTTTCTAACAATATGCCACAGGCAAATAAGCTGTATGTTTTCTATTAGTCAGCAGCCGAGAAACTGCAGCTAATGTTGAATCATCAGGCCCCTGAAATCCCTAATGATAGGTAGAGGATCAAGAGCAGAGCTGAATTGTCGAATAAAGGGTTAAAAATTTAAATAGGGGTGAAAAAAAGGAAGAGTATCACACTGACCCAGAGGTGAGACAGCTTGCCAACAATTTGCTTATTAATAATAGAGGCAATAATTATTAATAATCTGAAGAGATTACACAAAGGTCTTACACTGACAGTCCTGCTTGGTTTTCCTTTCTTTCTGTTTCTTGGTGCATTGGTCCCAGAGCTTTGAGCCTGTGTCTTCTTCCTTTTCCTCGTCAGATCTGGCTTTTGAGGCCAACTTTTTGTCAGGGTGTGAAGACATTTATCAAACATCACTTGATGGAAGAGCTGGTTAGCTACGCTGCCTGCCCAGAAAGCACAACATCAGCCATCTCCCAGGCAAAACACAGGGAGCAACAAATAATCTGGCCACCTCTCCATGTGCTTTGACAGCCAAAGAGATGGCCAGGACAAAGCCTAAGAGAGGTCGGGAGAAGAAAAAAATAATTGTTTGAATAAAGCCAAAGTGGATCAGGATGACACGTCATCAGTGATGGCATTCTCCAGTAGGATCACCAGCCGATTGACTCCTTCAAGCTGGTAACATGCTGCACAACAAAGATCAGCAAAACCCTAGAGAGTTTTGGCCTCGAATACCAAAGGATGCTGCTGTGAATCAACTGCCAGAAAGCTCCAACTGTTGGTTATTTAAAAAAAATACTTTTATTTTCACAAATGAACCTGTCCCAAAGCACTAGCACAGTGAAATCCTCTCCAGTTACAGAGCAGGAAGAGGAACAAGCTTCTGCCTTCGCTGTGTTTTGCTGTCACCCCGGAGGGATGTGTGTGATTTCAGCTCCCTGTACCGTTCAGACTCCTCTGTCGACCTTGTCACAGAGCTACCGAGAAGACACGTGGCAACGCAGCCCCGGACTGAGACTTCAAGCCACTTTCTGACAGGAGACTAAGCTGCCATCAGACCACGACGGCTGCTCAGCCCTCAACAGCACGGCTCTGACTTTCATCCCCGGGGATTTCAGGCAGATCAAGCGAACAGTTCAAAAGCCGTCACTTGTTCCACCTGGAAATCTTATGAGAAAAGAGCTGATTTTGCCCGAGTGATGTTTTATCCAACACTAAAGAGGGACATCCCTCTGCTCACCTGGGATTTCCAGCAGGAGGAAGTACAACCCAGCGGCGTGAAGAGCATAAATCCTCTGCTGTGGGGTGGCACTTTTCTGCTGGCCCGCCTGGACAAAGTGGTGCAGCACTGCCACGAGGGCGTTGGGAGAGATGTTGTTTTCAGCAAACAAGATCCAGATATTCTGGGGCAAAATACACGCGCATTTGTGAGAAACGCAGCAATAACACAGCTCTCTGCGAGTAGCTACTGTTAACATTTTAATTGTTCCCACTGCAAACAAATCCCTATATATATAATGCATATATAAATATGTTTTTAATAATTAGGGTATAGCATATAGGATTATTTACATAGAGCTGTTGGAGTGGGGTCAGAGGAGGCCACGGAGATGTTGGGAGGGCTGGAGGACAGGCTGAGAGAGTTGGGGGGGTTCAGCCTGGAGAAGAGAAGGCTCCAGGGAGACCTTCCAGCCCCTTCCAGTCCCTCAAGGAGCTCCAGGAAAGCTGGGGAGGGACTCTGGATCAGGGAGGGGAGCCATGGGACGAGGGGGAAGGGTTTGACGCTGAAAGAGGGGAGATTTTGATTGGATATTAGGACGAACTTCTTTGCTGCGAGGGTGGTGAAACACTGGAATAGAAGTTGTGAATGCCAAGTCCATCCCTGGAGGGGTTCAAGGGCAGGTTGGAGGGGGCTTGGAGCAACCTGGTCTGGTGGGAGGTGTCCAAGACCAAGAGATGGTCTTGAAGGTCCCTTCCAACCCAAACCATTCTACGGACTTCCCATCTCTGTTAAGCCAAAGGAGGCCCGACACAGGCGCAGGTCCCTTCCAACCCAAACCATTCTAGGGACTTTCCATCTCTGTTCTAAGGTCCCTTCCAACCCAAACCATTCTACGGACTTCCCATCTCTGTTAAGCCAAAGGAGGCCCGACACAGGCGGCCTTACCTCTCTGTTCTCATGGTCCTCCCCAGCGAAGGGCCGCAGGGCCTGGTAGAGCCAGGTGAAGACATCCAGTCCCTCCTCAGCGATCTCCTCTGCTATCCTGGCATCCAGAGGGTCCGTCTCGGTGAAATCCAGATCCCAGACGGCATCCACCCAGACTGCAAGCGGAAAGAAACCAAACCAGGGATATGAGCATCAGGTGGGAAGGTGGGGAGGTGTCAGTTCCAGGGTGGGGGGTGTAGTTTCAGAGTGGGGGGGTCACTTT